TTCCCAGTCCTAGTTACAGTGTAAAGCATTTTTTAAAATTCTATTAGACAGCTAGGCATAATTATTGCAGAAGGGGAAAATGGGAATAGTGAAAACTAAGCTTTTAATGTTTAGTAGAAGGAAAGGGCGGGCGGCATATAGAGTTAATGAGTTTGTGACAGGCTGAAAGTGAGAAAAAGGCATAGGAAAAGTCAAAAGAAATAATTGTAGGCTGGGCGTGGTGGTTCACACCTGTAATCCCAGCACTTTGGGAGGCCGAGGTGGGCATATCACAAGGTCAGGAGATCGAGACCATCCTGGCTAACACGGTGAAACCCTGTCTCCACTAAAAAACACACAAAAAATTGCCAGGCATGGTGGTGGGCACCTGTAGTCCCAGCTACTTGGGAGGCTGAGGCAGGAGAATGGTGTGAACCTGGGAGGTGGAGCTTGCAGTGAGCCAAGATTGTGCCACTGCATTCCAGCCTGGGTGACAGAGCAAGCCTCTGTCTCAAGAAAAAAAAAAAAGTAATCATTGTAGTCAAGATGACCGTTAGCTGTACATCTTGCAATACTATACCCTACAAAGTAGAATTTGGACATAAACACAGAATAGTATCTCAGTAGTCCTATTCACCAATCCTAGTACCTGTGTTGATCACTGGTATATATTTCCACTTGTCCGAGATGAAATGATACTAATACAGGGATTTTTCTTTTTCTTTTCTCTTTTTCTTTTTTTGAGATGGAGTTTTGCTCTTGTCGCCCAGACTGGAGTGCAATGGCATATTTCGGCTCACTGTAACCTCCACCTCCTCAGTTCAAGTGATTTTCCTGCCTCAGCCTCCCGAGTAGCTGGGATTACAGGCACCCGCCATCATGTCCAGCTAAGTTTTGTATTTTTAGTAGAGACTGGGTTTCACCATGTTGGCCAGGCTGGTCTCGAACTCCTGACCTCAGGTGATCCACCCATCTCGACCTCTCAAAGTGCTGGAATTACAGGCATGAGTCACTGCACCTGGCCAGTATTTTTCATAAAGCTAAATTTATTCAGTTTAAACAACTGCTCTTTATTTTGACATGTCATTTTAGCTTTTGTTCAGATGTTAAAATTTTCTTTTCTTTTGGAAAGTAATAGAGATAAGTAGTTGACAGTTTTTATTAAGGTCCTTACTAGACAAAATAAAAAGTTGACAAACAGGGCTGGGCATGGTGGCTCACGCCTGTAATCCCAGCATTTTGGGAGGCTGGGGTGGGTGGATTACCTGAGCTCAAGAGTTTGAGACCAGCCTAGGCAACATGGTAAAGCCTCGTCTCTACTAAACTACAAAAAATTAGCTGGGCGTGGTGGTGTATATTTGTAGTCCCAGCTACTTGGGAGGCTGAGGCAGGAGAATTGCTTGAACCCTGGAGGCAGAGGTTGCAGTCAGCTGAGATTGTGCCACTGCACTCCAGCCTGGGTGATAGAGCAAGACTGTCTCAAAAAACAAAACAAAACAAAATCTTGACAAACATATGTCCATTCCTCCCCACTAACTAATATTTATTTTGAAATATCAAAGTCTAGAAATCACTGAATCAGTTAATCTTCATGTTTTCTTACAGTTCTGGGAACCTTGGCTCTTAGATATCAAAGCAATTTATCTATGAATACCATTCAGTAGACACTAAGCAGAGCGTTTCCAAGGAGACATCAATGTATCTAGTTCCTGACGGTTCATATTTTATTTTTTTAATTTTATTTTTACTTTTTATTTTTTTGAGATGGAGTCTTGCTCTTGTCACCCAGGCTGGAGTGCAATGGCTCCACCTTGTTCACTGCAACCTCCTCCTCCCAGGTTCAAGCAATTCTTCTGTCTCAGTCTCCTGAGTAGCTGCGATTACAGGTGCCCACCACCACGCTCAGATAATTTTTGTATTTTTAGTAGAGATGGGGTTTCACCATGTTGGCCAGGCTGGTCTTGAACTCCTTACCTCAGGTGATCCACCCGCCTTGGCTCCCAAAGTGCTGGGATTACAGATGTCAGCCACTGCGCCTGGCCTGACAGTTCATATTTTATGCAGAGGCCCAATACTTGTCTTTTAGGAAATTACAATCTAAGACAAAACAGATGCAGATTGCTGTCACCTAGCACACAGAAGATAGGATAGAAACATCAATCTAATATACTGATGAATAATGAACTACTTACAGCAAATTATTTAGGTCTAGATGAGAGGTAAGACAAAAACCATGATATAGTGTATGTGTGGCAGCTATTTGCAAAGAGTTATCTCTGGAGATCTAAACCCAAACTAAACCAAAGGACCAAACAATCAAATCATCTTAGTGACCAACCAGGGCTAACCCCTTAAATATCAGTGATTTCTTTCCCCTGATGTCCTCTGTAGAATGACTTAGAATTTCAATGGCTAGACTAGAGAAATGGCTTTCATCGGGAATTAAGAAAACAAGCAGTTTGTTTTGTTGATTTTGATTTTAATATCACATACAGATTCTGATGAAAACATTAAATACTACTTAATTAGGCCAAGAAACCATTACAGAGTAGTTAGGTCAGTAAGCAAAAATGGTGAAAACTCATAATTAAGCGCATTCTCATTATACTCAAGTTCATTCTTGGTCACAAGAATAGGTATTTTTGAAAGGAATATTAATTATAGACATCTAGTGGACATATTTATTCAAATTGTCTTCCATTGGTCCTAATTAACATGGCTTCTAAAGGTGCATTCACTTGTAAGCCAAGGGTTTTTTAGGCGCTTGGAAAATCTGGCTCATTATCAAAAATATATAATTTAAAAATTTCTTAATATAGCAAATGAACTAATGACTTTATAAGGTAAGTATTTTTTGAAGGAGATGGCCAGGAAAATGTTAATAACTGGGAAAACAAATTATTGAACAGAAACCCAAAACATAATTTACTGTGACAAATAAAAGTATTTATTTTTCACATTCTTCTGGAGGGGGGCATATTATTTCAGTGTGTTGAGCATGATTGGATTTACCATTAATTTATTTCACAGAATTTATTGAGTGCCTACTAAGTGCTCTGGTCTGGGAACACAAAGACAAAAGTGTTTGCTCGCCAGGCTGTTGCCATCTCTAAGAGGTGCTCAATACATACTTAAAAATTACAAAAATTTCGACTGAAATTTGTATCACACCACACACCCACACACAGACACACACACAGTTTAAAGGATCTAGATGTGTTAGAAATGTTCAGGAACTGAAGGAAATAGGCCTTAGGGCTGGAGCCAACATCCAGTACTTCACTATGTAACAGCTTGATTTAGGAAATCATCTTTAAATAATATGACTTGCATTTGCTTTCTCCCGTATCCTCATTTTATGCAGTCCTATTTCTAAAAGGTCGTCATGGCCCTTCACAGATGAATGCAACATAATCTTGATTTCCTGGATGCTTAGGTTTGTAGAGGCTTTTCAGGGAACTTCAGCTGAAGGTCATCTACTCCAGCTCTTTTCAGATAGTTAATCCTGGTCTGGGTGGAGGTAAGAGGATACAGGTTGCTATTACAGCGTTTGCTGGGCTTTAAGACTAACCCTTGTCCATCCACCCCTGGGGAAAACCCTTGCTCTGCATTTTAGGGTTTTACTTGTTTGATACCAAGGAGGGCCCTGGACGCTTCAGCGTTTGTGCCTGCCCACATTACATAAAGGAGTTCCCTTCTCTGCCAAGTAGAAGGCCCATTTTGTTCCAGAAAGAAGCCGAAAGTGGGGCCCAGCAATGTGACTGCAGCAGACTGTGCCTGATCCCTTTCCCGCGCTTCAGGTTAGGACCTAGAATTCAATTTGCAAGCTGTTGTGGGGTGGAAGCTCAATGAGCAGCGGCGGGTCGTGCATCACACGGCTTCCGGCCGTTATTCCCCATTCAGGGCTATGTGACTCTCGTTTTGACTGGGGGCCGAGATGGAAACCCGAAAGTGTCACTATGGTCCCATCTGACACTGTAAAGGCGCACTTCCCTGCAGGAGGGCTAAGTATAGGATTGACCTCCAGGAGGGTCTGGAGGGGGGACTCTACCTGTGCAGCAGAATAGAGTGGCCAAGCAGTGGCACAGTTGGACGCAGAGCCGCCCTGACTATCCAAGCACAGTCCAGCTAGTTTCGACTTGGCCAAAGCCAGCATATATTGACGCTCCCAAGACCTTTATTCCTCGGTTGCAGGCAAGAGCAAAGCAGAGCCAGGGCGCATGTCCCTTTTGGCCCTCGGATCGGAGAAGCTGCTTGACCAGGTCACTGTGTTTTTCCTTCTTGCCACTCTTTGCCCTATCGAGGTCAGAGGATGCTTCCGTGTGGCTACCCAACGCATCACAGAGATCAGGGCTCCTGTTCAGGGAATCTACTTCAGGACTCTAGGCTTTGACAGGAGTCAACGCCTCAACTTAACCGCCCTTGCTATTGCTGCTTCAACCAGAAAAGGGCCCTGAGCGGATGAAGTGCCTGACGCTATCAGGACAAACAAACGTGCTGTCGGTGGGAACACTACTCCAGCGCGCTCGGGGTTGGCGCTGGGGCTTTCGGGTCGGAGTCGGAGCTTGACCAGCCCTCCAAAGCCTCGCAGGGAGGGAAGTAAAAAACGAGACGCCTTGCTCTGTACCCGAGACGGTACAACGGCTTGGTTTGGATTCCTCCCTCTGCTTCCTGACCCTAGAGGGTTAAATTAGGAGGGTACAACGCCACCCTTTTCTCCTCCTTCCCGCCTGCCTCCCTCCCCTTACCTTTAAAAAGTTAAAAAATGTCTGCAGTAGAAATCTCTTAAAGGGGCGGTGCCGGTGTACGAGTTCTCTTGGCAAGAGTCACTGGGAAGGCTGGCTAGGGGCGTGAGTTCGCTCCACCAGCACCAAAACACTGAAAAAAAAAAATAAGAAAAAAAAAATTAAAAAAAACGAGCGAGCGAGAGAAAGAGGGAGAGAGAGAGAGAGAGTGTGTGTGTGTGTGTGGGGGGGGGGGGGGAGGAAGGGAAAAAAAGGGGGGAAAAAGGCGGACAGACACACACTTTAGATAAGGACAATTAGTCACTAGCGAGACCAAGTAGGAAGAGAGGTTTAAATCAGAGGGATTGAATGAGGGTGCTCTGTGCCTTCCCTGAAGCCATGCCCTCCAGCAACTCCCGCCCCCCCGCGTGCCTAGCCCCGGGGGCTCTCTACTTGGCTCTGTTGCTCCATCTCTCCCTTTCCTCCCAAGCTGGAGACAGGAGACCCTTGCCTGTAGACAGAGCTACAGGTTTGAAGGAAAAGACCCTGATTCTACTTGATGTGAGCACCAAGAACCCAGTCAGGACAGTCAATGAGAACTTCCTCTCTCTGCAGCTGGATCCGTCCATCATTCATGATGGCTGGCTCGATTTCCTAAGGTAAGGCAGGGGCTTCGATGGATCATTTAAAATTTTTTAGTAACATCCCCTCAACCCCTTCCTATCCCCCATTCCAAAGGGGAAAGAAGAAAGTAAGCCAAGCAGATCTCTCAAAGAGAAGAAAGGAGGTTTTCCTCCTCCTGGATTGTGTGCTATGAGGCTGTAACTAGTGATTGGGAAAAGCAATGTTTTCTATTAAGATGCACATGTTTGCAATGCAGAAGGCATTTCAGAAACTTATCAGTTATGACTGAAAAAATGTTGTGCTTACATATATCCACAATTAGCCTCCTCGTCTCCTTCTGAAAAAGAAACAAGAGGTTCAGAGCAGTTACAAAAGCGAAGAAAAGATCTCAAACAACAAAGAGCTGAAAAGAATGAGTATGTGTGTGGGGGTGTGTGTGTATGTGCGACAGAGAGGAGTGTGTGTGTGTGTCTGTGAATGTTCAAGCGGGATTGCACGAAAAGTGGAATTTTCCACGGAAAGATCGTTTCGTCAGTTCTCTCCCACTCTCAGACAGAAAACGAATTTAAGCAGAGGCTTGAGTGGTGGGCAAGTTGGATCGGAGTTAAATTTTTTTATTTTATATCCTCCGCTGTCATCTCCAGACTTCAGGACTTTGTAAGGCGCTTTTTATAGACAGAATGCCCCCCTCCCCCTCAGTTCCTCCTCCTCAAATCTCCTGCGGTAACTGCACAGTTTAGCTTTTCTTTAAAGAAAAGAAAAAAAAAATCCTCGCTGGGGTCACAGCGTTATAAGGGAAGCGGTAAGAGACCCAGAAATACTCCAGGGAGGCTTCGGAGATCTGAACCCCGCACCAGCGGATTAGCAAACCCGGAGGTTTGTGATTCCCTTTGCTCTAGGGCTTGTAATCTAATTGGGCTCACACTCTCCCCGGGTTGTTGCAGTTTGGCAGTTAGGCAACTACGATCCCTTCCCTTCAGGGACAGAGTTGCAGTGTAAAATGAGAAATACATCCTCTACAGTGTCGAATCCAAGTGTTGAGTTTTTAAAAATTCCCTCCAAGTTGGAGCCTCAGCTGTGGGTTCCCCTCGAAGAGCCTTCAGCGCTCTCAGTCCCACTCTGCCCCGAGGCCACGTCCGTTGTGCGTCCTTCGTATTTTTCACTCCTTGCGAAATTCGAGTTTTGCTTCTTGAGGTGCGTCCGCCTCTCAGCTCTTGGGGTTGTCCCCCTGGCCCGGGTCAGGTCTGCGGATGCCGCAGGTAGCGGGAGGCGCCACGTGGAGCGCTCCTTCCACATGGAGGAAGGGTAGCCGGAGAACTGAGAGGCTGTAGCTTCCCTTGCGGAGGCCGTTTCGGTTCCTGCTGGTGCGGTTGCTGCCAGGGCGGAACAGCCAGCTCTGCGCGGCCCAGCTGCTTCTTCGAAAGCTCCTTGGTGCAGCAGAGTGCGTCTCTGAGCTCGTCCGAATGTAGGGTGCAACGGAGTTTTCCGCAATGCTTGTCCCACTTGCATTGAACTCCTTCAGCTGCGCAGACCCCTTTCCCCTCCAGCTTTCTTCTTTTTAAAAATCAGCCTGTTCGCCTAATGCTTTCCTGCCTCAGAAAAGAGTCTGGAAGGCAGCTTTTCGGGGAAGAAGTCCTGGCGGAGCGCATTCGCTTTGGCTGTGCAGGCTTCTGGATGAAAGGTTGTTGGAACTGCCCTTTCCCCAGGACCGGATTCGCGCGGACGTCTCCTTTGCCACAGTAGGCCCACGCGACGCCCTGACTGTGCCTGTCCTGGAGCGCAGTCCCGGAGACTTCAGCCAAACGACCCTTCTGGTTACAAGACCCTGGGGTAGCCACGTCTCTTCTCAAAAAACTCCAAAAGCAGAGTCTGTTTTTTCTTTCTCGTATCCACCTACTTTATGATGCTCTTTAACGTCACCATTTGGATTTGGGTTTTCAGAATCTGAAACAGTAAAGCGTTAAAAAATAATTTACAGACCCGGAACTCAGCAGCTGATCCCCTCAGCATTATCAGTATCTGCATTGCTCCTTCCCTACTCCTTCCCAAAGCAGCAGCCTTTGGCTTTTAAAAACCTATTGATGGAAATCCTGACCTTAAATAGATGTAAATGCTATTGTTTTAATGCTCATTTAGTATCCCCTAACGCGCAGGTTCCACATTTCGGCTAGCTTCATTTTCCCTAGCGGTTCCAAACGGCCCCAAGTGGGAAAGAAGAAAGATGGAGCCTAACTCGGGGGTGGGGTGGGGAGGAGGATGTTACCTTTCCTGAGATCAGGCCGAATTATTTCAGGGGCCAAGAGACGTTGCCTTTACTCTGTGTGTGTGTGCTGGTGGTGGTGCGGGAGTGGAGAAGTGTTCTTGGAAAGGCAAGGGTTTACCCTGGGGATCTCTCCGTCCGGGGATTTGGGAAACAATGCGGTTTTTACAATATAGTGAAAAAGACAAATCAACTCGGACATTAAAAGAAAGAAAGTAGGAATCCACTTAAGCTCAGGCGCCAGGCCTGGTCTGAGAGAAACAAGGCAGGTTTCACCTCCTGCACGGAGGTTTGTGGGGCCCCTGGGGCCGAGGAGGCAATGCCGGCTTTCAGCATACAGGTTTTTGGCAAGGGTCGGAAGCCAGAGGTAGGCGCGCCTAGCGCGTCTCCGCCCGGAGCGCTTTCCTGGCAGTGGCAGAAGCCGGGCAACTGCGCTTTAGCGCCGTGCTCGTAGCACGTACACCCACCCCGTACAAACACTCTATGAACAAATACAGTCTGTAGCCTTTAGGAGATCAGGATCTGGGTGTCTGCGGGAGGGGGCCGCTGCGGGCGCCTGGAAGCGAGAGGCATAGCCCCCGGAGTTGGGCGGTGAGGGCGGGCTGGGGCGCGGGGCACTAGCTAGAAGCTGCGGGAACGGCCAGGGGCCAGCGTGGACTACCGGCTGGGGCAGGCACAGAGCCTCTAGCCTTGGCCAGGTCACCCTCAGGGAGTAGGAAGAGGGCCCCTTTCCGTGCCCCACGCGCTCTCGTCCTGTCCCGGGGAACTTTCTTCTCTTATTCTCTTCCTCTGCAGCTCCAAGCGCTTGGTGACCCTGGCCCGGGGACTTTCGCCCGCCTTTCTGCGCTTCGGGGGCAAAAGGACCGACTTCCTGCAGTTCCAGAACCTGAGGAACCCGGCGAAAAGCCGCGGGGGCCCGGGCCCGGATTACTATCTCAAAAACTATGAGGATGGTGAGAAACTTGATTACCATTCTTTATCAGGGGAGCGGAAGCGAGCACCCGCTGGGTTTGTGTGTCTCTATGTTCGTGTGTGTGCGTGTGTGTGCGTGTGTGTGCGTGTGTGTGTGTGTGTGTGTGTATGCGCGCGCGCGCGCGTTGGGGCAGATTTGGAGAACCTGGTTGCAGGTCGCCTGAAAATGAAAAGTTGGAAGCTTCAGACGAGGAGACGCTGCAGTGTGGAACTCCTGACCTCATTGCGCAAAGGGGGCTCTCCAGGTTGTCCTCACCCAGCTGCTGGCCTTTTGCTGGGCGGCTGTCTTGGAGGCTGCTAGCGGGCTGGTCCTGCGGGGTGTAGATGAAGCAGGTTTTTTGAGAAAATTCAGCCAGGTTCATAGATTATTAAAGGTCAGAGTCATATTTCTTTGCTAAAATTCTAGGCAAAGTGCCTTTCTGTTTTTCTTATTTCTTGCCTTCCTGTGATGAGGGTACAGAAGGGATTCAGCCGTTTTTGAAGTGCACTCTAAAGTTTTCTGGAATAATCCCTTTTAAATTGGTCCCTTGTTGAGGAAGGTTTGGAAATCTCCACAGTTAGTTCTTCTTCAGATTGCCTAATCTCAGAGTTGCATTTTTTTCTGTTTTAAAATGGGATTACAAATGCCAGCTTTCTTTCCTGACCGAATTAGGTAAGTGTTGGAAGGGCTTTGAAAACTTGAAATCCTGTTTCAGTCAGAGAGGCCAATCTTTTTTGGTTTGAACAGTCTCATTTTTACTAGGGAAAAAAGTGAAAATGCTATTGAAAAATTTTTGTTTAGAAGGCTAGGTGTTAACATCTATGAACTTCCTGTTTAAGTGGAGGGATGTGCTTTCAAAGACGCACGATGGGTATTGGCGTTTCTTGAGCTATTGACACTGTTAAGATGGCATAGAAGAGGCATTAGTGTCCATTCTTGGAGGGCTTTCTCCCCGCTGTTGTTCCTTCTCATAAGTAAACTACACTTTTATATATAAAGGGCTCAGGGACAGGTTTTCAGAGCCCTCTGAATTTTGTTACATCTTGTTCTCACCAATCAGCTAAAGGAGCAAATGCCCTTGTATTTTCTTGGGCCTTCATTGAAAAGAACTTCTGGAGAGGTATTGGAATGTATTTCAAGGGTGGCTGAGGAACGTTTTTTTAAAGTGCCAGAATAAGAGAAAGAGGGCAAGGCTGAGGCTTCTTGAGTTTGGAGCATGACTAGGACTTACTCTTTTATAACATTTGCCAAAGCATGTAGGTGTTTAAGGCTGTATCTTTTCAAAGATAAAAGTCATTGCTATAAAAGTGTGGATTGCAAGTGGACTTTTTGCTGTCACTCAGCATAAATGCTGAAAGGTAAAAGATAGTCTTTAACAGCACCTCTGATGGTAATTTGACCCAGAACCTTATAGCTCCTAGGGTCACTGTCAGCTCTGTGATCAGACATAAGAAAGGAGAATATTAATGGTTTTCCCAATGAGATAGCTCTTCTTCCAATCCATTTGAACTATTTCCTCTTTAGTTTGTGGGAAAACTTGTAAAAGCCCCGGGAATTGCTGGGGGTGGGGGCGGGGGTGCGGAGAAAGATTATAAGTTTAGAAATTGGTCTGTTTCTCTCAACCTTGTACCTAGGATTATGTTACATTGAGAACAATGAGATCTGCTTAAAATGAAGGCTACAATTTGTTTCCCTTTGTGAAAGGAGAAAGTGGGCATCATGGGGAGAAAAGAAATTGGCAGAAGGCAGTGCCCTGTAAAACTTCATAGAATTTAAAAAAAAAAAACATAAATGGAAAAGATCCAAGAGGTCACCTTCAGTCCTTCTATCATGTCAGGGGCCAGTATAGGATCATTCCATATGGAATCCTTTTCTTGTTTTGTCCAACCTGGCATTAAATATCTCTAGGAATGTAGTTTTTCACCACTCATAGGGGAGAGATTCTTCTGTCCCGTAAGCTTTTGCTGGGAAATTTCTCCTGAATTTTCCCTTTATAAGTATTTACAATTATTCCTGTTTGCATTTTTTAGACATCTATCTTCAAAATAATTTCTGCCTTTGGTGTGGGTGTTAGCTTCAAAAAAAAAAAAAAATGTTTCCTCATAGCTGTTTTTTATCTAGACTACCTGGATCTAATTCTTTTAAAACTTTCTTTAAAGTCAGTCCTTCCAGACACTAATCTGTTTTATTGCTCCTAGCTGAACTCCTTTTGATTTATGTTTTCCTAGTAATAAGATGCTCTGAACTATATCAGTATTTGAGACTTTAGCTGAGTTAAAGAGAATGAGAACGTCCTATTTCTGCCCTTTGAAGCTCACATATCCTTAAATTACCCCTACTGTCTTTGTTGTTGCATGTTGCATTGCAGAATTCAAGGCAAAATGTTCTTGGTATAGTCTCAGCAATTTTGAAAACATTATGCTTCCGTTGTCCCTTTTTATCTAGTGATAACTGTTATCATCACGAGCATCTTAAAGTAATTAAGCCTTCTTAGGAAATGGCCCTGTAGTAAGCACTTGGGCATAAAGGCATCTTATTAAAAGATGCATTTACTTAAACATAGTACAGAATAACAACATACATTTTGAGTAATAAGATGTACCTACTGGCACATTATGAAACTGAATAATACAGTGAAGAGAAAATGGAATTTGGACTTAGGAAGCTTGCACTGCAGGCCTGGCCCTATCACTTATGAATGTGTGGCCCGGGGCTTACTGTTTATAGCATGTGGATGATGATAATTACCTACTGTGCATTGCTTCTCTGAAGGTTCTAAGAGGTAATGTTTGTAAGTTACTTTTTTTGACTGCACAACACTATAAGAAAGGTAAGGATTCTTACTTTCATTAACGACAATGTCAGCAAATTTATAATATATATTTAATGTTTTAAAGTGGGATTAAGGAGTGAGTAAGATTTCATGAGACTGAAGTTTTTGCAGAAGGCACAAGGTAGATTTATGGAATTACTTGAGAGGATTGAGAGAATGTAGGGAGAATTATCTTTAAGGAACAGAGTTGAGAACCAAAGGTGGCTTTTGTTATGTACTAATGTTAAAATGAATGGATAGTTATAGTGTTAAGCAAAAAGCCTCCACTCTTCTGGTTAATCCGTTTATATTGCTACCCTGATATGATTTCTTTTTTTTCTTTTTTCTTTTTTCTTTTTTTGAGATGGAGTCTCCTCTGTCGCCCAGGCTGGAGGGCAGTGGCACGATCTTGGTTTACTGCAATCTCTGCCTCCCGGGTTCAAGTGATTTTCGTGCCTCAGCCTCTTGAGTAGCTGGGATTACAGGTGTGTGCCACCATGCCCGGCTAATTTTTGTATTTTTAGTAGAGATGGGGTTTCACCATGTTGGCCAGGCTGGTCTTGAACTCCTGACCTCAAGTGATCTGCCCACCTCAGCCTCCCAAAGTGCTGAGATTATAGACATGAGCCACTGTGCCCAGCCCCTGATGTGATTTTGTTGTTCCCCTTGTTTTCCCATGAATTAATAATGCAATTAACAACTCATGTGTCTTCTGTTTTCCAAATACTTTTTGAGCACATTTAATGCAACTGTATTTTCTCTAACTTTGTAAAACCACTGTTTATGTATCACTTTGGGAGTTTCACTGGTTACTCCTTTAATGCAGTTAACTATTCTACTCTATGCTTAGGCACCTTGAATTACATACACACATAGTGATGATGGAAGAAGTAAAAATAGAGTTGTTCTTTATACCCTAGGAATCTTACCGTTGCATAACTTCCTTTTTGTTCTATGTTTATGCTTTACTTGCTCTCAACAAAGAAATCTTGGGTTATTCTTCTGTTCTTAAGTTTATTTTTTCCCAGTCTTCCCCTCTTTGTATTATATTCAATGTAGCTTATTTGTATGCATGTTTTTTAAGACCATAGCTGCATCTTTAATGAAGACGTACACCATTTTTTAATGTACCTCAAAAGCCAGCTTAATATTTCTAAAATGTCATATTCATCACGTTACTCTTTTGCTAAAAACTATGGTTATTTTTGGATTGCTTACATAATATGTTCAAACTCCTCAACTTGACATTCACAACCTTTCACATTTCAGTCTCAGCTTACTTTTGCTACCCTGTGTTTCCATATACCTTTTATTACAGCCAAACTTGATTGTTCACTGTCTCCTTAAAGCACCTTTATTATCTCAACCCCATGCCTTTGTTCAGTTAGCATATGAATATGCCTTGAATGTCTTTCTCTTGGCTCAAGTCAGAGCTTACTCCATCCCATCTAGTTTTCGAAGGCCCATTGCAAATGTTCCTTATTTGCACAAAAATGTTCTTGAACAGGTCATTCCACAGTGATCTCTTCTTTCTCTAGACTGCTGTAGCTTTTACTCTTTATGCTTTTCTTTTGGCTCCTTCTGCCTTGTTTTGCCATTTAACTTCATATATATATACACATATATATACACACACACATATATATACACTATATATACACATTCAATTTTATATATACATACATTCAACTTTATATATGTATACATATATATATTTTACCTTTCCATCTAGAATGCAAATTCTTTATAGGAAGAGACCATATCTAATTATTGTATATCCACAATGTCTAGCCTTTATGATACATGGTAGATCTTCAGCAAATTTTCTTGGGTGTATACTAGGTTAAAAACACTGTGAAAGGCTCTGGGAAAATGGAGGTGACCAGTGGAGAAATGAGTGAAGGTATACATGAAGATTCTATTCATTTTACACTTTCAACACATATTCCCATGCAGTCCATTCTTGATGCTTATTTTTTAATGACATTCTTCATGATTTTAATCATGTGCTCTTTATCTTTGGTTGTCTAAGTTGTCTTGATTTTATGCTATGTGTTAAATTAACTTTATCACCCAGTTTAAAGCCTTGTACTAGAACTACATTTTAAAAAAAATTGTATCTGTTTCTACCTTGCCTTTACTTTTGCTTTTCTTTGTTAGTCTAATGTAATTTCTATCCCTGATTTTTC